TAACAGGAAATTTGGTTTAGGAGTTAACTCCAGATAACTTAATACAAGTAAACAGCTTAAGATAATATTTAACGGTATGCATACCTGCTATGGTGGCACACAGGAATTGAAATTGGGCCCAATGATCAGCATCAATTCATAACTACGTAATTATTACTATATAGCCAAACCAAGAAATATCCAGGATGAGTTAGAAAAGTAAATTAAGGAGCAGGTGGGATTGACTGGGGGGGGGTGCTCTTTGATGGTACTGGAGATCGACCTCTTGGCCTTGTGCATGGTAAGCACATGCTGTACCACTGAGCTATACCTCTGACCCCAGAGTTTGGCCTGGATTTTTTTTCAAAAGAGGTGAGTACCTCTGTTCCTGTCTTGAAGGCCAACACTAGAAACAATACAATCTGGCTTAGCTGGGTGGGAGATAAGGAGAAACTAACATCCCTCTTCACCGAGGAGTGAAAAGACCAGAATTAGCACCTTTGCCCTCTGGGTTACACAAAAAAAGGTGACAAGGTAGAAAGAAGTGAAATAGTGAGAGATGATGAGGAAAAGGGACCACATTCCTCCTGAATCACTCCCTGACTTCAATAAGGTTTTGCCAGAGGGATCCTAGGATATTGCTTATTTTATAGTATGAAAAACGTAAGTAGAAGTTATTTATTCCCAAGCCTCTTGAGTACAACTGCAATGATATCACCTACCTCATAACATTTAGTTAACTGACAGGACTTAAGTGCCTAGAACAAAACAGTTTTTCAATAAATGTTAATTCCATTCTTTTCTTCCTTCTTTTCCTAACATATACTAAGTGGTGAGATTTAAGTGAAATGATTCTTTTGTTTTAAAACATCACCTGAGTTTTCAATCTCATCAATTTATGGTTAGGATGAATGAAGAAACTATTATGAGAAGACTGAGACATGGGTATCTTTCACTGATTCGTATGTGTCCTTACTGAGACAAAATACCTGTATTCAAAGTTAAAGGGGAAAAAGTCTATTTGGCTTACAGTTCATAGGGGTTTCAGTCCATAATGGGCTGGCTCCAAGGCAGGGTGGCTGGGGCAACAGTTCCTGGCAGTGGAAGACAGCAAAAGCAACAAAAGACTTGAACAGCATCCTCCTGCCCCTTTTACTTTTATTCAGACTACTTAGGGCTGGCAGCACTCATGCCCTTAATCCTAGTGCCCTCGGGCCTAGCCCCACCGTACATCAATCACACACTCCAGATTCGGCCACCTCTGAGAAAGCATGAGGCTTTGGGGGAGACATCTAAATACAAGCCACAAAAATCTGCTTAATCAAACTTCAAGAAAAAAAAAAAGGAAGGTCCAAGAAAGTTTCATGGCCTGAGCCACTTTGGTAGTGGGCTTACATGGTGAAAGGCCACAAGGACAGCCCTGGACAGTGCCAGGAACCATCCTAAAGACACTAGGCTCTGGGAAATGTGTGGAAAGATGAGATGACAGAAAAGTGACAAGTTTGCTACTGTGCCTAGTTCTTCCTCCATCACCTGACTATGCATGAAATTTGGAAGCAAAGGGACAGATGGGTAAACACTTCTGACCCTCAGTGAGAGCTACCAAAAGTGGTGCTAAGAAAAATCTCAGAATGAAGTGTACAGCTGAAACAAATGACATGTGTGCAGGGCAGGTCTTATCCCCCCACACAACTGCAGGCAACAGGCAGCAATGCTTCTTGGCAGCAAGCTAACCAATTTGGGAAGAACTTTGGAGAACACTACATCCCCACTCTGAATGCTCTTATGCAACTCATACATGTACACATCAGGGAGACTGGGGGCAACTAGGGGTGACAGCTCTTGCCCAGGGCACCAGTTCTAATAGCTGGTTCCATCTTTAGGCCCATCTTGCCTCATGGTGAAGAGACTGAAATTCTAGAGTAAGGGTCAGCTGATAGTCCTCAAAGAATGGTTCATTTCCACATTTTGCAAGTCACTCAAAGTCTGCAAGTAGTACAGGTACTATATCCATATGTAAAACTAGAACACACAAGTGTTACACATGTATTATACTTGTGGGGGTTTTTTGTTTTTTTGGTACCAGGGATCGAACTCAGGACCTTGCGCTTACGAGGCAGGCGCTGGAACCACTGAGCTACATCCCCGGCCCTTATACTTGTTTTATTGTGCAAAACTGAGCAACCATGCAGCCAAGTTTACTTGGAGCTCCCACAGGAACATCAGGTAGGGAATTAAAGCAGTCAGAAGACAGGAGCACGCCACTCCAGAGAGGAAAAGGCCTACCATGTGGGAACCTATGGTGCCTGTATATCCTGATAGTCCGTCTCTAGCCCTGAATGATGCTTCCTGAAAGCAGGTGCACTCATGCAGTCTCTATGATAGGACTTAAGTTAGTGAGTACTGTTTGTCTACTAAGACATTTAGGAGGAAGATAAAAAGAAACACAGATGTGTGAGCCAAACTGGTATTAGCAACACTGAACTTTCTATTTTCTGCTCATTACCCTCATGTTACCTTCCCATCATCCCAGTAAGGGAGAACCAGCAATGTTCATTTCCAGTCTTTCTACAACCGTAGTGTGTGAGCCTGCTTTCAGGATTATCTATATGTATGTCCAGCTCTTTGATATCTCTGAGGACAAAAGCTGCAGTGTCTCCTATCCCTTTCTTCCATCAAAAGTGTGGCTGCTGCAGTAATTTTCTGAATTTTGAATCCTGGGATTAAATACCCTAACCTATCTGGACCAAAATCTCCATTTATTTAGTACACTTGCTAAATTGAATGGTGGATAAATTCTTCAGTAAACAAATTCAACCAAAAGCTACTGGTTAATTATCTCCCACTATACAGATTCATTGACTATGTCAACATTTTACAAACAGCAAGCCTGCACATTCCTCATACTGTCAAGAACAGAAAACAAATAATAACAACCCGCCTACCTGGGAAACCAAGCACACAGGGAATGGAAGGGTGGTTAATGTTCTTGGTTTTTACCATCAGCAGCAGAACAGAAAAACGCAAGTCCCAGGCCTGTTGTCCAGTGAGCTGAAAATGCCACCAGTCCCCACAGGGAAGCAGCCAGACTAGAAGAGATTCCTGAACCATGGCATTTCATTCTCTGTCCCTTCAAATGCTGCCCTTTGCTGTTCTTAATCCTGCTTTCTGCTGTAGTGTCTTTTCCACTACAGACCAAACCCTTACGATCTTTATATTTTCTTAGGTCCTTCTACCACTATAGTTATCTATTAATATCACAAAAGTGACAGAATATAAAATTGGCTGATAACTCACAAGTTCTTCCTTTTGTTTTCTCTATGATCATTCTAAAATCTTGGTCAACCAATATGGTAAGAATTATTTAGTTATGTCCCACACTGGCCATTAGTCTTCACTTTACCTCCTCATAAAATTCTGTGAAAAGTTTGTCATGCCATTCTTTTAGACATGTATTCTTGTCCTGGGGTTTGACCATTAAATCCTCTTCTGCTTATAATGATTTCCCCAATTTTTCATTAAACTCAACATTTTCCTATCTCTACTCCTCCAACATTTTCATTGCTCCTGTTGATTCAGTTTCATGCTGTCTTGCTCACATAAGATGGACATTTATGCATATACACAAAACCCGATTTCCTTCTAAGCAGATATTATATGCCACTATGTCACATGCACAAAACACAACTTCCTTTTTTTTTGTATATCCTTTTATTGGTACATTTTAGGTGTACAATATAATGACATTCATCCTTGGAGATATGCACCTCTACATACTCTCTTGGTTCTTGTGTTTTCCCCATTCCCCTGCCCTCCCTTCAACCCCTCCATCCCTCCCTATTTACAAAGACTTTGTTTCCATTTTTTCATTTTCTCATATTAATTCCATTCCCTTCTCTCCTTTCCCCTACCCCTCCCACTTCCCCCTCCCCTTTTCCCCTTTTCTTCCTATTTCACATTGTCTATTATATCTTTTAGTCTTTATTTACACTTTCAGTTTCTCACACTAGAGAAACTATTCAGTATTTACACATGTGTGTCCTGTACAACTTCCTTCCAAGATATGTAGGTGGAGAGCACTGTTCTACAAAAACTGACCTATTCGGGGCCAGGATTTAGCTCAGTGGCACCATGGCTGCCTCCTAAGCGCAAGGTCCTGAGTTCCATCCCTGGTGCAAAAAAAACAAAACAAAACAAAAAAAAACCATGAAACAAAACTGACCTATTCAGAGACTTTCCTGGAGCAGAAAATATGGTCAGAGACATCGAATCAATTTGTTCTCCAGACTGACTGAGGGGAACCGTGGGGGTATGTGTGTGTGATAAGTCTTCCAAGAAGAGTATTGAGTATCTCTTGTCTGAAACCCCTGGAACCTAACACGTCTCAAATCTAAGAGATTTAGGGTTTGTGAATATTTGCATAGTCTTTATTGGCTGAGTATCCCTCATCTAAAAATTTTAAAATGTGAAATGCTCCAAACTCCCACACTTTCCGAGAATTGTGTCTGTGCCCATTTTGGATTTTAAAGCCCTTTGGAGCTTTTCAAATTAGGGATGCTTAACCTATACATCTTTACTAGGTAAGTCTTTATACTGTGAAATGTAATTCTTTTAAATTTCACCATACTTCCCCACAGATGGGCAGATTAAAAAGAGTCTGAGGCACAGTTTATATAACCTGGTCAAAGAATTCATGAACATTCATTGTACCAAATGGCAGACTTAAGGGCCAGGAATTTAACTCAGTGGTACTGGCACCTGCCTGGCAAGGTCCCAAGTTTGATCCCTGGTACTGGGAAATAAATAAACAAACAGATTTAGAATCTTCCAAAATGGTAGCTCCTAGTTTTTTAAACTGATTTAATCAAAACAAAGCACTGGTGTGATTATTTATACATAAAATATTAGTGTGACTGTTCAAATAAAACACTTGTTTCCATCAGTCTTAAATTTGGATCCTAGCACTTTTGCAGTAACTTAAAACTAACATTATTAAAACAGGCACTACTTGTGGTACTCACCTTTAATCTGATGGAATTGTTTAACCAGATCTTTTATATCCAGAGAAGCATTCCCTGAAAAATAAATACACAAATTAAATACAGATACATAAAATTTTCAACTTAAAATGCTGTTTTGAAGCAACAAATATATAATCAAAAGCAGTAACAAACCTTCTCTAAACACTGCAAGTTCTTTAAAATAAACTGCTGCAAACTGGGTGATGTTTGATGGATTGGTTTTGAGAATAGCTCTGCTAACTCCCTCAAGCAGAGTCTTGAGGCCATTGGGTATGACAAGTCTGGATTTTGAAGAAATCATTTTGGCAGGATGTCTGTAATCTCACCTGTAATGAAGAAAAACAAAACCTTATATATAGTATACTAATTTTCTATTAAAATACTTCTTATGCATTACTGTGGTTTCCAAGAACAAATCTACTTTTAAAATTAGCCAGATGTGGTGGTGCACACTTGTAACCAATCCCAGGACTCAGGAAGGCGCCATGAGTTCACGGTCAGCCTGAGCTAATCAGTTCAAGGGTAGCCTGAACTACATAGAGAGACCCTGTCTTAAACTAAAATAAAATTAGCTTTAATTCTAATCTCCAGGTATTTTAGTAAAATTTGTTAATTCTTGACAGTATGGGAAAAATCCATTACCAACTGTCTACTATGTACAGATAAGCAATACTGTATAGTAATAGTAAAAATAATCCATAGAGAAAGTCCTGCCAGAACTCCCAGGATAATATGAAAAACAAAGAACAAAAAAGACAACAAAGACCAAATGAAACATGTTTCTGTAAAATAGCCAGTGGATATTCTGTAAACTAACATCTGAAGAAAAATTAAGCTCATGTATGTTTCTAAATAGCTGCACTAGGACTGGTTTTTCTGTACAGAGTTACAAAACAGTATTTTCACAAGAAAGTGACTTTCCCTTCATTTTTCTAAATAGATTCCCTGACATGTTCATCTTTATACGTTTTTGGCTTCAATTTTTATTGTTATCATTCATCAAAGTATGTTATCGTCCCTGGTTTATTATGCCACTCACCACCATCTGTGCCTCTTTCTTGTCTCAAAACCCTTTTTACCCTCTGCCCTCATTATCCCATCTCCTCCTCCTCTTGCCCTTCTAAGTGCTACCAAGAGCATTACACAGTCAAAGCAGTAATTCTCAGAGGTGCAGAGGTTGTCGATCTTACACTGTGTATGTTCTCATTCTAAAATTTTATTTACGAAGGCTTGTAAGTACACATAATGAAAATTTTAACATAAGGGAAAATTAGGTAAAAGATGAAGCTAAGGGAGAGGTGTGCACCTCAGTGCAAACCATAGGTCCTTCACTTTGTCAGAGACCCAAGAAACTATCACAGATAGGAAACAGGTAAATGGCTCAGGCTTCCCGAGGATTAGGAAAAAACAAAAACAAACAAACGAGTTGCTTGGAAGAATCACAGCTGCTCTGGATACTGAGACCCAGGAGAAACTTCTCCCACGGGACTCTGTAAAGAGCAGAATAGTGTGACATAACGAACCTTGGACTTAACAACATCCCTACAGTGCACAGAATAACGAGTTTCATAGGGCTCAGTGGCACGATTTAGTTACAGCAATTATACAAAGGGGCAACTTCTAATAAAAAGCAACTAATGTGCCACAGAAAAGTGTTGAATATTTAAAAGGACACTTGATCTTCCCAAAGGTCAGGACAAACCCGTATTGGCCAGAGCAAACCCTTTGAGAACTAGGGGTACTGGATTCCTTAGTGGAAATGTACACCAGAGTATCGTTCATCGGGAATTTTACTGAGGTAAGTCGTCTTTTAAAAACAGAGCCCATGTAGCAGGCTCACCTGCGCGCGCACACACACAGGCTGGGGTAATAAGTGCTGAAGGCGCCCCTTAAGTAGGCAACTAGCAGTCGGGGCTATCAACTGCGCTGAGCGCGCCACGGCCGCGACTCTGACTCCGACTCCGCGGCGCTTGCCTAACACTCCTGCAGGGCTCATCCCTCACGATGCGGAGCCGACCTCATCCGGGCAAGGACGGGACCAGGGAAGCAGCTCCTAGGAAGAACTGTCCCGACCGAGTATGGGGTGACACCGAGGAACGGCTCCAATGGGTAAAATGCGGCCCCAAATTCAACTCCCGAGGTCTGTCAGAGTGACGGCTTAGTGACTCCCCGCCAACGTCTCCTTTCGAGAGAATACCTGTCAGAGGTGAACGGTCCCCATGACCCGACCGCGGGGTACCGGGTTGAGCAAAGGGCTTCTGGACCACAGAGGTCGGAAGCAGCACACGCCACGCCCTCTCTAAAGACCCCGGGGTCGGGGTGCCCTCGGGGATGTGTGTTTTGCCCTTTGGTTTCTGTGTGCGGGAAGAGGACCGTGAAGGATGGGGGACGCGGCGAGCCGAATTCCCGTCCACCTTACAGGGCGGGCGTCCCACAGCGTCCCACAGCCTCCCAGCCCGGCAACCCACCCCGGCAACCTCCGCCTCCCCGACGCTTGAGACTTGGTCCGCCTCGTCCACCGCACGAAACACGCCAAGGGCTTGACTCCAGAGCGCCAGGCGGACCTTTTCTCCAGACTCGCCGCACCTTCTTTCCGGCTAGGATTTACAGATACTCCTCGCGGACCCCTCACCAGCGCCTCCTGGAAGTCCGTGAGCTGGTGGGGCCTTTTATAGCCCTGGGAACGCCACGGTGTGCGTCAGAAAGCTCCGCCCCTCACGGGCCGCCATGTGAGGAGGCGGGGTCACAGAACTCCAGCCAATAGGGAAGACGGACGGAACAATGGCCAGAACTGGAAGGGCGTGAGGGAAGTCCTTTGTGCACTGAGGGAAAGTGACATTTCTTACCTTTGGTCGGTCCAGTTGAAGAGCTGGTTTGGAAGGAAAGAGCAATAAATCGGTGGCAGTTCTGTCACTATCTGTCCGTTCCACACACTCCTTGCCCTTAAATTACCCTTAGGCTGCCTCCTGAAAATTTTCTGCCACAGCGCACACAACACTTGGCACTTTTTCTTGAGAAACTCGCTTGTGGAATGAGTTGGGTATTAAACCTGAAACTTTGTTTCTAATACGAAGGATCAGGGACCATCTGTCCCCACCAAGTCATACCGTCGGTAACAGGTGACAAGTCAAGAAGCCACTTAAGCTCACTTTTACCAAATTAACAAAATGATGCCTCATTTAAAAATACCCACTCTGGGCGCGCGCTCCCGCCCGCCGCCCGCTGCCCGCTGCCCGCCCGGAGTCTGGAGTCCGTGTCTCCCGCGCTGCCCTCCCGGGCCGCCCCGCTCATTAAGTCTCCCCTTCTCTTTATTTTTCGGCCCCGCGCTGCAGGTGTGGGCATGAGAGTCAGGGCCGAGTACCAAGCCCGGATCCCCGAATTCGACCCAGGTGCTACAAAGTACACAGATAAAGCCAATGGAGGGATGCTCGTGTGGTCTCCCTATCACAGTATCCCAGATGCCAAACTGGATGAATATATTGCAATTGCAAAGGAGAAACATGGCTATAATGTTGAACAGGCATTTTTGCTGTTCTGGCATAAGCATACCATTGAGAAGTCCCTTGCTGATCTCCCTAATTTCACTCCCTTTCCAGATGAGTGGACAGTGGAAGATAAAGTCCTATTTGAGCAAGCCTTTAGTTTTCACGGGAAGAGCTTTCACAGGATTCAGCAAATGCTTCCAGATAAGACAATTGCAAGCCTTGTAAAATATTACTATTCTTGGGAAAAAACCTCGCTCTAGGAGCAGTTTAATGGATCGCCAGGCTCCTGAACTAGCCAATAGACGTAATCAGGGGGACAGTGATGATGATGTGGAAGTAACACACCCAATGGATGGGAATGATAGTGATTATGATCCTAAAAAAGAAAGAGGGCAACACTGAACAGCCCGCCCCAACTAGCAAGATTGGGCTGGGCAGGAGAGAGTACCAGAGCTTGCAGCACGGCCATCACTCTCAGCGCTCTAAGTGCCGCCCCGCAAAGGGCATGTACCTGACCCAAGAAGACGTGGCCGCAGCTTCCTGTAGTCCCAATGCGGCCAACACCATCCGGAGGCAACTGGACATGGAGCTGATCTCGCTAAAACGCCAGGTTCAGAATGCTAAGCAAGTAAACCGTGCACTTAAACAGAAAATGGAAGGTGGAATTGAAGAGTTCAAACCTCCTGAGTCAAATCAGAAAATTAATGCCCGTTGGACCACAGAGGAGCAGCTTCTAGCAGTGCAAGGTGTCCGCAAATATGGTGAAAATTTTCAAGCTATTGCAGATGTAATTGGCAACAAGACTGTTGGCCAATTGAACTTCTTTGTAAACTACAGGCATCGGTTTAACTTAAAGGAGGTATTTCAGGAGTGGGAAGCAGAACAAGGAAGCCAGGCTTCTAATGGTGATGCTTCTACTTTAGGGGAGGAGACAAAAAGTGCTTCTAAAGTGCTATCAGGGAAGAGCACTGATGAAGAAGAGGAGGCACAGAACCCACAGGCTCCTCGGACTCTGGGTCCGTCACCTCCTGCCTCCTCGTCCACTCCAGCACCAGCAGCCTCCATTGCCACTCTGAACCAGCCGCCACCACTGCTCCGTCCAACACCGTCTGCTGCCCCTGCTCTTCACCGGCAGCCTCCTTCTCTGCAGCAGCAGGCTCGGTTCATCCAGCCCCGGCCGACTCTATATCAGCCTCCACCACCTCTCATTCGCCCTGCTCATTCTATGCCGCCCCGTCTAAACCCAAGACCAGTGTTGTCCATGGGGGGCAGTCAGCAGCCACTGTCCCTAATCGGGATTCAGACAGATTCACAGTCCCCACTGCACTAAAACTAAGTTGGCAGCGCTGAGTAACTTCTCACCCTGTCGTTATACCAGTGCTCATCTGACTGATGCAAAAGAGGAAAACGGTCCTTCCTAGATACTGAGGCTGCAAAATAATTCTGTGGCAGTGGACTAACATTAAGCGGATGTCTTAAGAAATCTTAGCTCACTATACTAAAATATTATACAACAAAAAGCTTCCAGGTTACCTGTTTTAGAGGATGTGTTCACCAATGTGATCTCATAAAAGGAAGAAAAAAAGATTTAAGTATTCTATATACCAAGGGGTTTTTTGTTTTTACTGTATTTATTTTATTGAAGTTCTTTATATTCCTGCCTCTTCATAGTCAAGGCTTTTAATACAGGATTACTGACTTAGGAATTGTAAAAACTTACGTTTTTTTAAGTCAAGGATGTTTGGTCTTTTTTTTCTTTTATTTAAAAAAACATTTTCCTATGTTAGAAGTGCAAGAATAAATAGCCTACATTTCAAAAAACCCCCAAAAAACCCACTGTGCTCTTTCACCCATTCAGATTCAAGTATTTGTGCTGGGCAGTAAGTAACACCATAAGCCTGATTATCGGATTCCAAGCAGTCTTTGCTGTAATCCATCTTCCAAGGGTTCAAAAAGCAACATGAACCATTGTAAATCAATTAAATGGCTTTAAGGGCATACACCTAATCCCCCAATGCAATTCAGAAGAGGGTTCTAAAGCATTTTGTAATAAAAGGCAATGTTTTGGCCAGTCTCTACTGTACCTAGGCTACGACAGCATTGCCTGGGACAATTCCTTCATGCATTGAATAATTATTACTGAGTACCCATACTAGAGAAGCTCCCCTCTTTTTGTGATAATTACATATTTAATCTCTTTAAATGCTCTTTTCCATAGGTCTATGGTAGTAAATGGTAAATTTCTAATCATCGCTTGCCTCCAACCCCTACTGTAGCAAATAAAAAGATTAGCTGTTATGATTTCTGAAAGTTGGCCATATAATACATTTAAAGGCTAAAGTTGTAATGAACTCAGCTGCTGAAAATTCTTAAGTACTAACTTCATAGAGATCCACTGTGGAGTCTTTTCAAAGCGGAGACCTTTATGGTTGTGTAGCTTAACTGGCTGGTCATCTTGAATAGCTATCAAGTACTGGGTGCTATACAGAAAATACCTGTGATTCAGAAAGAAACCCTTGATTTTTTTTCATTTCTTCAAGGACTTTTCTAAGTCACTCTGAAATGCAAATTGTTACAGTGAAAACATTTAACCAAGAATTTTCAAACCATTGCCCAGTTGCTGCTTTGACTTCTTGAACTCCTAATGATTTGATGTGGCTTCAGTCTTCTTGCCCTTGTGTTCATCTGCCTTTTGGTCAATAGTGATCTAACAAAAAAATGCATATAGGGCCACCCACTAGGGACCTCTCCTGCCACTCAGGAGCTTTCCTATCAATAAATATCTTCCTACTTTAAAAAAAATGCTTATCTACCTTTTTCCCACTGTCCCCCTCCCTACATCCCAAATCTTCACCCTAGAGAAGCCGAGAGTTCTTGGTGTGGCTTATGTGTGCTTCCCCTAGCTCCTTCTCGCCACCTTCTTCCCACTCGACTCCCCAGATCCTTGAACATGTGCTGTTACTTGTGCTTTAGCTTATTAGGTCCAAGATCTCCAAGGCCGCACCAGTCATCAGTTTCACCTGAGTGCACCCTTCTGCGCCCTTAAAACTCAGCTCTTCTGCTTCAAGAAGCAAATGGGTTAGCATTTCTTTCATGGCTCAATAACTCTATGGCCAAGCTTAACCTACCTATATAGTTCTGTTAGCGTTTGACTCTTATCCCTGATTTACTAAATACACAAGATGATAGCCTAGCCCTACAGCATTATTTCTCTAATCCAGACCTGTATTGGAATCGTTCCAGGAGCTTGTTTATAATGCTGTCTCAAGCCTCGCCTGCAAAGCCTGCTGAATCAGAGCAGTAAGAGGGCTCATTTGTGAAACACAAAAATTGAAAACTGCTGGCCACTGGGAGAAATAGTTGTTATGCAAAGGTCACACGTGGGTCACATGTGGTAGTGTTCCTGCCTCATACCCAAGTCAACAAGGAGACAGCTCAATTCCTTACAGGTTTTCAGAAGAAAGCCAGATACGCTGCTACATCTACGGACCAATTTTCCATTCTCATGTTCCTGTTGCCCTTTTCTATGTCTGCACTTCTAAGTTACTGCCTCTGGTATATATTTCCTTAGGATGATCTGGGCTTAACAATTGCCTTTCTCCATAATATACCAGCCACAGAAACCAAAACAGTGCACTGTGATAGCATGAAAGTATCTTCATAAGGCCATATTTGAACACCTGACACCACTATTGCTTAAAGAGGTCAACTAGAAATGTGTGCATGGTAAAGGAAATGTGTGTGTGGTTTTAAAAAATCAGATATACATTGTTGTTTGATTTTAGTTGGATGAAATATACAAGTACAAATTCAGTAAATAATTGACTTCTACAATATATGAGAATATTCTAATTTTCTGTGACACCTGAAAGTTATAATTGTTTACGAGTAGCAGACTTATCAACCATTTATGAAAATAAAAAAGATGCCCAACCCAACAAAGGTAAAATCTTAAATATATTAACCAGTAAGGTACAGATGACATTATTGTTACTAGACCATGCCTCCAAGTCTGTCAAACTATAAAAAAGTGTTCAGCATACATAAAATATACATTAGAGATTTCTCTCAGGCACAATCTAATACAAAAATATATCTGACACTTATAAGTTAGAAGTTCCATTTGAGAGCCTCCAAAATAGGAAAGGGGAAGGAGTGGTGGTAACATTAAAAAAAGCAACAGCACACATAGATGCAAACAGTTCCACTTATGTGATTATTTTCTTCATCAGCAGGGGAACAGAGCAATTTACACCAAGCCAAGTTACCAAGCAGCTCACAGTCAATTCACAAGTTACGTGACTCATAGCTCACAGGCCAGGTAACGGTTAGGAATTACACAACTCAATGTGCACTCAGGTTTCAGTCCACCTCAGGGTCCAGCGGACTCTGTGGCTTTGCTACTTGGGGTCTTTGGAATCTCTACTCACTCTCCATGGTTTCTCACCACAGATGGACCACAGAATTTATCTGAACTGAGGCTGGAACAGACCTGTGCTTTGACTAGGAAAGAAAAACAAAATTGTCTCTCCTGAAATCCTGATGGGGAAATGAAAGTAATTTTTTGGGGGGGAGGTACCAGGGATTAAACTCGGGACCTTGCACTTGTGAGGCAGGTTGGCACCACTGAGTTAAATCCCCAGCCCCAATTTTTACAGTAACTTATGTAAAGATAAATTTTTTTAAAAAAAAAAATTGAATGCACAAGACTCTGTAATCTTTCA